ACATGGACGAGGTGGCTGGTTTCCACTTAAAGCATTGGCAGGATGAGTGCCTGAGAAGAGGCCACTTGGTCACAACAACAGGAACCTAAGGAGACATGTGCCTCCTGCAGAGGGCTCTGCTCCTCCCCATAGGGTGGATGACAGCCCACCACCCTATAGTTCCCTGGAGCCAGAGCTGGGATAAGCTTGGGCTGGGAAGGAGCAGATAACCTTTCCTGCTAAACTCTGCGAACAGAAGCCACTGGAGCCCTCTTGGAAGAGGAGGGGGGAGTGCAGGGATGTTTGCAGCGTGTTTATTGGAGAAGTGCTCTTAGGCAAGTGAGGCTGGTCTCTGGGGACAGGTTACTTCGTCTTGCTATCCCCCAGCGGGATCTGGAGGAGCGTGGGAGACTGTTCCATGATGCGCACCAGCAGCTGGTCAATGTAGTTCTCCAGTTCATGGATGTGCTCCTCCTTCTTGCTCAGCTCCTTCTCTCTCTGCAGCAGGAGCTGGATGAGTTCATCATGGGTCAAGTGATAATACCTGGCTGACTGGTCCAGTACGGTGGGATCCTGTGGTGGAAACCAAGAGGAACATTCATTGAATCAAAGAAAACCGCTGCTCCCTTTAGCGTTTGCAAGGTGCAGCAACAACTGAAGCAATTACTATTTTCTATGTCTGTCTTCTTTCCAAATCTGAACTGATAAGCCTGATACCTTCTGCCACTATCACATCCTGTCTTTACAAAGCAGCTTTCCCACGTGCCATGCAGTCACCCAAAAATACTGGAGACAGAACAACTGCCCAGCCACGCAGGCCAGTGCAGCCCTCTCCACGGCTAGCGGCGACTGCTGAGCACTTCCACCAGCTGAGTGAACCATTTAACAGGGTTTCCCCAAAGACTGTGTCCAACCTCTTTCCTCCAACAGTTAGAAGCTAAGGGCATGGGCACAACAGAGCCCGTTAGCCTGGCATAATGAGGCCTGGCACTAGCTACTCCTCCTCTCTGGGGCTTCCCCCTTCCCCAGTCCTCCAGCAGCAGGCCTGGATGACAGCAGGAGAAGAGAACTAAGAGCCAAAAGACCCCTCAGGAGCTACCAGAGAACGAGAGCCCTGCGGGAGTCCACTCAGGTGAACCCCAGCAGCAGCACTTTACATGTCGAGTTGGGAGACAAACAGAGCAGCAGTAGACAAAGGGGAGAAGGCAACACCGTGAGACTGTGCCTTCAGACATATCACACAGGTGTTTTGCTTGCCCCAACGTGCCAGCATTTAAAATACAGCCAGGCAAGTGGCATTGGAGCAAGGCTCCAGGAAGCACCTTCCCTCCACCGCTGTCAGGAGAAAAAACCCTTCAGGCCTTCAATCAGGCAACTATTACATCCTCCATCTTCCATGTCTTGCAGATAACCAGGCATTCGCTCACACACTATGCAATAAAACCCCCAAACCAAAACAAGCAATGGGAGAAGAATGATGGGATGAGAAGGTCCACAGACCAAGTCATGGAGGAAGGGAGGCCAGCAGCAGGCTGGGAAACCAGAATCAAGGGTGTTGGGATTCATACACATGGTTCCGCTCACACTGTGGCAGGATCCCATTCAACCTCCTCCAACACCAGTTTTTCTGCACCTCTGTCACCAACTTTAGAACATCTTGAGCAGGTGGGAATGCAGCTCTCACCGCAGTGGAAGGTTCCTACCTTTAAACTCCTTGAGTCCGTTCTCTCCAGGTGAGAGGATGGGGCCACAGGCTGGATGCTGCTCGTGGTGACCGTCTTCAGCTTCTCCAGGCCATTGCTCAGAGCAGTTGTCAGGCTGGACCTGTGCTGCTGCTTCTTCTCACTGGATGCCTCTTGCACCGCAGCGCTGATGGGTTTCACTGGGTGAGGACTAAAGAGAACAAGGATGTTGGACAGTTAACACCCTCCTGAGCTGAGGAGTGACGCTGCTGGCTCTCCCTATGGTTTTTATGGGGGTGGGACCCACTTATCAAATCTAGTCAGCTCCGCAGAGCTAAATCCGCTGTGTCTGTGTTGCTCAAAGCTCACCTGCTCTGAGGAGAGAGAGAAGAGCCAGCATCCTGCAGAGCAGGTAGCCCACAGCCCACAGATTAGTGTCTGGGGTCACCGTTAATGCTTCAGGGCAGGGATGCTCCTGCATCCCTGTGCATCAGTTCCTGCACTGCCTCAGCCCAAGTGCTGGGCTCCACCTGCCTGGAAGACACCACAGAATTTGCCCCCCGCTCCACTAGCCAAAAGGTAGGGTGAGGAGACTGTGTCCGAAGGCACCTTCCTTGCCAGTTAAGAGGGATTTACATTTTCATTTATTTTTGCCTCACTCTTTACCCAAAAGATTGCTTCTGGGTTTAAACAAAGTACATTTGGTTTTCAATGTGATGGAAAGAGAAGTGACCTGATGCTACTTTCCTGCAAGGAACAGGCAGACCTGTGCACCGCGCTCAGGATGAAAAGATTGTAAAATCTACCCAGGAGCTCCGTGAAGCCTCTGCACTCATCAGATGCAGCAGCTGCCCTGCGAAGGGTGATAATGCCAACTGTTGTGTGTCCAAACAGTGCAGCGGAAGGAGGACATCTTGCTCGCAGCAGCTCTCGAGCAAGGCGGCCAAGCGCAGCCTCTCTTTACAAACAGGGACCTCAGGGTGTTGGTAGGACAGGTTGTGGGAGGAGGAATAACACCCACAGTCACTGTGTGAGCTGTCAGCCAGGCTGGGACAGACCCCGCTCATGTCCACCTTGTGCTGTAACTGCTTGACTGTGCTTTATTTCCATGTCGAAAGCAGAGCAGGTGGCTTTCAGCCCTGCTCCAGAACAGAGATGATGGGTGAGGTTGGCACAAAGGTACCATCACGTAAGGCATCAGGTGGATGGCCCACGTCCTCAAGGCTGGTATCCTTGTGCCTCATCAGTGGTGACGGGATCAGGATGTACCAAGCAATCTCCCTGTTATGCTGACAGGACGTGTCTAGAAGTCCTCTTCAACCACAATGAAGCCTCCTGTCATCCGTTTGCTAGCAGAGGACAGCAACGGTAGCTACTGACCAGCTTCAAGAAGCCAAAGGATCAACACTCCTTGACAGAGCACAAGGACAGAGATAAGGGTTCCCAGACAGCTTGAAAGGATGGAGAGAGATCCCACTCCGAGTAGGAGTCCACTGACAGCACCAGGGGTTGGAGAAGTCACCATTCTGCACATCAGCCTCAAGCTCTCTCCACCCTGGAATGCACCCTTCACCAGCAGAGCTCCAAACACCATGACACTGCGTTACAAGTGGCCCAGCAGTTGTCCGTTTGTTATGACGTAAGATGAGGTGAGGGTGAACCGGACCAGAAGCCATGCACAGATCCTGAAAAACTGCTCATTCCTGAGTCCTTTAAAAAACCAGAAGTAATGACTTTGCTCGCTTGAACCACTGCTAGCCTCCTTCCTAGTCCAAAATGAGCAGGGTTCACTGCAGGATCTGGGGGAAGGCAGCTCTACTACCACTGTAGGACTTCAAGCGTTCCTCAAAACACAGTGTCTGGGAAGGAAAGCAGTGGGGGAGCGGCCAGGACTGCTCATCACAGCCAGGTCTGAAGATACCAACCCCAAACGCCACCATCGCTTCATGCATCCCCACAGCATCCCCACAGCCAGAGCAGAGACTAAGACCGGCGTACGGCTGCAGAAGCAGGACACTAACACCCCTAAGCAAGAGGTCTGTGGGGCACTGGCTGGACATCACGAACACTCACACCATTTTAAACCTCTGAAGGGGACCTCTTTGGGACCAAACTTAGCAAGGCCACCCTACAGAACAAAAACCAGCAAGAGCCTTGGGATAGCCTAGATGCATTTTCAAAGCAGGGGGACATTTCCCACTGCAAGGCTGCTCTCAGGCAGCTTTCAGCCCCACTGCCAGTGGGGATGCATTAATTTCTGCAGAGCTGGAAAAGGTATTTTAAAAAAAAAACTTAT